AAAATCGTCATGGACTGTGTAGGTCCCTTGCCTAAAACCAAGGCGGGCAACGAGTACCTACTTACCTTTATGTGTTCAAGTACCCGTTTTCCCGAGGCGATTCCCTTACGGAACATTAAGGCAAAGACTGTAGTCAGAGCCATGACCCGGTTCTTCACTACCTTTGGATTACCTAGAATCGTGCAAACAGATCAAGGCAGCAACTTCACCAGTCACCATTTTCAGGAAGCGCTAGCCAAGCTAGGTTCCACCAAACCCTCAAAACCATGCTAAGGTCATTCGCTAACAGTAACACCCAATGGGATGAGTCTGTTCCTTGGATTATTTTCGCCGCGAGGGACTGTATCCAGGACTCTTTAGGCTACTCGCCTTTTCAACTTGTGTTTGGACATTCTGTCCGTGGCCCCCTGAAGCTGATACACGAACGTTGGACAGGTACCAGCGATCATCCTGTGGAAAACTTCGACGATTTTCACGTTCGACTGAAAGCCGTGTGCGAAATGGCTCACAAGAACTTAAGAAAGGCCCAAGTGAGAATGAAAGGACTGTATGATAAGAGTTCTTGTAAACGAACATTCAATCCAGGCGACAAAGTTCTTGTGCTAGTGCCTAATCTGAACAATGCGTTATCCTTGAGATATTGTGGACCCTTTACTGTGCATTCAAAATTAAGTGATTTGAACTATGTTGTCAATACGCCCGACAGAAGAAAGAAACAGACAGTGTATCATGTCAACTCACTGAAAAAGTATTATGATAATTGTAACAATTTTCAATCCACAGCTAAAACTACTTTACCTGTATGTTCAAATGTTTCTGATGATGTGATACATGATAAATTGAAACCCCCAAAATTGGTAAATTCTTCCTTTTTAGATAATTTGAATGTCCACCTTATGCATTTGTCCACAGAGGAAAGCCATAGATTGTCTCAGTTATTTGAGACATTTCCCTCTATTTTTGGGGATGTCCCCAAAGAAGCGAAGGTTCCACCTCATGATGTAGACGTTGGTGACGCAAAACCCATTAAACAACACCCCTATAGAGTTAATCCGGAAAAAGCTGCTTTGATAAAAGATGAAATTGACTATATGCTCAAGAATGATATCATTGAGCCCAGTTTCAGCAACTGGAGTTCCCCATGTCTCCTAGTCCCGAAAGACGGTGGATCTTTCAGGTTTGTGACCGACTTTAGGAAGGTGAATGCGCTCACCAAAGCTGATTCCTATCCCTTACCTCGGATAGAGGACGTTATTGATAAAGTTGGTCAAGCTAAGATAATTTCCAAAATTGATTTACTTTCAGGATACTGGCAAATCCCCTTATCTGACCGTGCAAAAGAAATATCTGCTTTTGTAACCCCTAATGGTTTTTATAGATACAAACGCATGCCCTTTGGTATGCGAAATGCTGGTCAAACTTTCCAGAGGGTCATTAACTCTGTCATTGCTGACATAGACCAATGTGAGGCCTACATAGATGATATAGTTGTATTTTCTAATACTTTTGAAGAACATATTGTTCAATTGACTAACCTTTTTAGAAAATTGTCTGAAGTTAATTTTACTGTAAACTTACATAAAAGTGATTTCTGTAAAGCTTCAATTACCTATTTGGGTTATCAAGTGGGAACGAACCAAGTTCGGCCCATTGAAGCTAAAGTAGATGCTATTGTAAGGTTACCACCTCCCAAAATTTGTAAAGAGATCAAAAAGTTCCTTGGGATGGCTGGTTACTATAGGCGGTTCTGTCAAAACTTTTCAGCTGTTGCTGAACCTCTTACTGCATTATTGAAAAAGGGTGTTGAGTTTGAATGGTCAGATAAATGTCAAGAAGCTTTTTTAACCATTAAGTCATTTCTATCTAATGCTCCTGTTATGGCTGCACCAAATTTTAGCAAGCCCTTTAAACTTGCCATTGATGCTAGCAACTTAGCCATTGGCTCAGTCCTATTTCAAGAAGACAACATGGGAATTGACCATCCCATTGCCTTTTTTTCCAGGAAGTTAAATGAGAACCAAAAGAATTATTCTACTATTGAAAAAGAGGCTTTAGCTTTGGTTTTATCATTACAACATTTTGAAGTCTATGTCTCTTCTTCAACCAATCCAGTCAGAGTGTTTTCTGACCATGATCCCCTGAAATTTACCTCTAAGTTAGGACAGACAAATCAAAGAATATTGAGATGGTGCTTATATTTCCAAAATTTTAATCTGGAAATTTCACACATTAAGGGTAGTGATAATGTTGTGGCTGATTGTTTGTCAAGGATGTAAAATCTTGTTACGCACATTGATCATGTGACATGCTTTGTGGTTCATTAGGACCATAAACAGGTTTTGTTTGAGTGTCACTCATATGAAAATGAGTGGTGTGAGTTAGAATTTTTCAAAATTCCAATCCTGTTGAATATTTTGTTTATTTTCAGGTGAACCTTAATTAAAGGTAGTTTTGATTATATTTAATCTTTTATAATAATATGTCTCATATGACTCAATTGATATTGTAGCTAGTCATTGAAATAAAGGTCTTACCCTAGCGGGTTTACCACTTTTAATATTCTCATGGAAAAATTGTAATACCCTTTTTTGAGGGATTTTGATGTATAATTACTTTTTGAAGGGTTACTCCCCTTTCACCAATTGTAAAAGTTGGAGTTACTTCCCTTTTATGTTCAGGGATATTTTCATCTGGTATTATGATTTTGATTGCCTACATTTGTAAAACATTTTTGTTATTTCATTGCCAGATTGGTTCCTTATGTATGTTTTTGTGGAACCTATCTGTCACTTCCAAAAAGGGAGGGGATGTGACCTACTTAGGTCGAGTCATTTTTATTTTGACATTGTATAATTCCTTATATGGAATGATTGTGTAACACCTGGGGTTTTTCCACTGACTTATTAAGGTGTTTGAGACATAGAAATTTTCCATTAAAATCTGATTGAATGATTCTGATCAGATGATTATCCCAACCAATGGTGACATGAGTTGAGGATAACCTCCCCTGTCACAGAAGTCTTTAATTGCCCTGCAAACTCGCAACACGAAGCAGTTTTTCTTGACCTAAAAGTCTACGAGGCCGTTTTACCTTAGTCAGGCAGCCGTCCATTTTGTCCGGCTATAGACTCTGACCATTTGAACGTGAGAGAACTTAAGTCCTGTGTGTGCTTTGCTTTCTTCAGTTGATTTAATCTTCTAGTTTAATATTACTTGTCGCTAAGTAAGTCTAGAAGCTACAGCAGTGTTGTGTGGCCTGTAGCTGTTCTTAGGACAGTGTAGAAATCTGTGATAGTGTTTTTTCCTACATTGTGTAAGTTGGGTTTTTGATATTTTATACATTAAATATTTTATCTAGTTCATCTTGGTGTTTTGCCACATCTGAGTTCGCTGATTAAATGGTCGTATGTAGATTGGATGAGTGTTAATTACAATAGTATCACTAGCTCCCCTAGACATTAATTTCGAGCCCTAGTGGTCGTTGTGTTAAGTGTTCATCCACTTAGGCCGTAAGGCATTTGCATATGACCCCGAAAAAAGAATCCGGGGACGTTCTCCTTCTATTTGGCTGATAGAAAGGTTAACGTTACAATATATATATATATATATATATATATATATATATATATATAACTTGTTTGGTTGGCAACAAACTAAATTATAATGTATGAATGTAACAGGTTTAACTTATTTTATAAAGGGTATTTTCAAAAAGTGACTTTTAGCCAGTAATCTTCTTTACCGATAGTCTTTTGATCATGGTCTACACATGCTGTTGATTTTCAAATACCAGCTTTAAAATGTGTATTTACATCGGGCTTCAAACGTAATGTCGTAATTTTTAAAAATGTCTTGTTACTATGCAATATGTTTAAGTCACATGAAGACTAGTACGACTTGTGTTTCTTCAAACAATTTTTAACACTATAAGGCCTTGGGGGTCATCCATAAATGACGTCACGCTTTTTTTGACGATTTTTACCTCTCCCCCTCCCCTCCGTCACACGTCGTCACAATAAGCCAGGCGCACACCGCCCTAAAATGACGTCACACCCCAACCTACAACCCCCTCAAAATTGCAGTTGAATTTTTTTTTAAACATCGATATTTTTTCCAAAATCTTGTCTAAACTATTACAATTTATTCAAACAATTATCTAAAACGCGAAATAACGTCTAAAATTCGTTTTCTAACACTGCTTTTTTATAATGCAAAAATGTGACGACGTTACAGCTGAACCCCCCCCCCCCTCCCCCTCATCACACATCGTTACAAAATTACGGATCCCCCTCCCCCCTACGAGTGTGACGTCATTTATGGATGACCCCTTGACTCATCGATAAAAATTCATCCGAGCTGGTTATACTAACGAACATGAGGTACTAAACTGGAGACTAACGGTTTTCAATCATATATTCTACCGCTAAACCAGATCTTCCTAGTTTACAAAACATATGCTAACAGATACAAAAGTCTTCATTAACATATTAACAAATATTGTTTGGTTTTCGTCGAGTAGACACTTTTCATTTTTGTAGGCGTATGTTAGTTGAGTATTCAATAAAGGAAGATCTAAGAAGTATCAATTGACAATTTGTGTTAAAATATGCATGAATGGGTCAGTAGTACAGGAAGGACTCGGTAGAAAAATGTTGATGTCGGCAGTTTAAACTTAAATACTATGCAATACGTGGTTGAAAATTTGTCAATCAATATGTTATGTTTCTAAAATGGTACTTGAAACGATGGTTGCGAAACATTGTTAATATTGAATAAATAAATAAATTGTAAACAAACTGTCTCGCTTGCAAAAAAACTATGTATTTTCTTGTTCGTGTATTTCCTACTTCATACAATTTTTGTATAAGTAGAACTACTTCAAACATTTGTCCAATATTTTACATAACAGCTCTTGTCGTTTGTCCAAGTATACATTAATTTACATCATTAAAATTTAAATGTGGATAAAACTCGTGGTAACACAAGCTAATTTTACCGCATTTACCGAAGAACTTATTTTCGAAGGTAAATTTCGTGAGTATTGTTACAATTTAACTGTATCCATGCGTTTTTTAATTTCTGTGTTTGGTTGTGTAAAGTTTACATTGTAATATATTCTAATATAAAAAAATCTAGTTAACTTCAGTGTAGTTGCAAAGCAATTGTATACGATAATACAACACGCTGAACTATACGTTAACAAAAAAAAAAACATCTATATATAACACTAGAGTTTAGAATATAAGAAACAAACTTATACACACGATTTCATGTTTAAGTCCCCGAATGTCAGACTAAATGTAAAACTTATACACACGGTTTCATGTTTATGTCCCTGAATGTCAGACTAATTGTAAAACTTATACACACGGTTTCATGTTTATGTCCCCGAATGTCAGACTAATTGTAAAACTTATACACAAGATTTCATGTTTAAGTACCTGAATGTCAGACTAATTGTAAAACTTATACACACGGTTTCACGTTTAAGTCCGCCAGGTTTGAACCCCAGCACCATGTCTCCTGTTTGGATCCTCGTCCTCCTACCAGCCTTGGCCATGGCCGACAGCTTTAGTGATGCCGACAAAAACAAAGATTCCACCTTAACTGATGTTGAAATTTTAAACTACGCCAAGGTTTGTCAAATAACATATACACATTTAGCTTCGCATTTATTTAGTTTGTGTCTTGTTTGGTTCTCTTCTTGTTTCTTTTTCGTTTATAATTCTGGTGTGGAAGGGATTCCCTCCAACACAATTAACCAATACGTGTGAACTTTATTTTCCCAAATAAGTCTTTGACTTCGATTTCAGCATGATTTTCTTTCTGGATTTGCTTCCATAGCCTATGTTCGACCAAGAACAAACTACAAGGCCGCAGTTTTTTTTTACTTTTAACTTGTCTCTCCTATAGGGTTGCTGTCCCAAGCTATCTGGCAAGGGGTTCGAGCTCGTAACCTTTCGGTTCAACAACCATGAGTTTTTCCGCCGAACCCTTCCTTTTGTTCTATTTTTCTGTATTACCACTTGGCTAAGAAAACACGTCAAAAACATTAATTTCAAAACATTTCATTCCAACATCCTTGACTAAATTATTGTCTTCAGCAGTTTTTTTTTTATGTTGTCTTTTTGTGTCTTCGTTTAGGTTTTATTTTGCCTTATCGTTAACCCAGTCGTATATAAACCTACAGTAAATACGATGAGTAATCATTTTATATTGAACAGCAATGGGATGCGGACAAAGACGGCAACATCGTACAGAAAGAGTTCAGTAAGTTGATCAAAGACTTACTGCCTGAATACGCCGCCTACTCCACGGCCATGTTCAAAGCCTGCGACAGCAACAAGGATCAAAAGCTCAACGCTGTCGACAGCGCGGCTGTGCTGAAAAAGATCGACACCAACAAGAACGGAAAAGCGGAGAAGTCCGAGTTCTATGTGTAATGTTTTTTTTTCCATATTCCTTAATGAAATTTAAATTTATAACCGTTAAGTACACTTTTTAGTCATTATATATATATATATATATATATATATATATATATATATATATATATATATATATATATATATATATATATATATATATATATATATATATATAAATATTAGGACACTAGAACTCGCATAAGCGTTAAAACTTAGAAGTCGTCTTCCTTTTCGTAAAATATTTTAATTCTCCTTAATGAAATTGAACTTAATAACCGTCAACAACACACCTTTAGTCATTATCTACTTTGTAAGACTCTAGCATAACCGGAAAAGCTGAGAAGTGAGAGTTATATACGTAAAATATTTTCTATATTTTTTTTCGTTACAACTTAAATTACTACTTACATTCGGAAGTAATTTAGTCTGCAGAATGTCCATGAGACCACTCGGCTCTCGTGGGTGTCTGACTCTTTGAAATGGAAGTAAATTACACACAGTCTTTATTTAGATTCATATTTTATAATTCTGGGCGTAAATTTATTTCACTTTCTTTCTAAAACATTAAGCAATATATAGAAAGCGCACAGATTCAATTTATATTTGAGAAAATAAAATTTTAAAGTATACAATATAATCTATAAGAAAAAGCAAGCAAATATGTAACACTATTTTATTCTATATACTTGTGTATTTTATCAGTATTTTTTGAATAGGTTGTTGAAAAAATAAGTTGAATGTAAAGCAGAGGCGTAGCGCCTGGGGACAAACTTTTCGATTTGCACCCCCCCCCCTCAAGATTTTGATTTACACCCCCCCCCCCCTCAACATTTCGATTTGCACCCCTCTCAACCTTTCAATTTATTTTTCCAACCTATTTTGGCGCCGCCCCCACCCCCCTCGCTACGCTACAGATGTAAACCTCCTCTTTCAATCCTAACAACCCGTAAGATAGGTGAAATAGGGCTTGTAAGTAGGTCACAACTTCTCGTTGTAGTACTTGCCAGCAAGTAGATTTCGAGACGGTGGACACAAGCCCTATAGAGTTTACATGTTTCTTGACCACAACATAAGAAAGTATGGTGTGATCAGCACTATGCCCAGATGCCTTAGCTCTCGTGAGTCAGGTACTGGATGGACTCTGTGACGTCCTGTAAAAGTCCAGATCTAGATCCGAACTCGTGTACCTCGGGCTAGCAGTCGAGAGCTCTATCTCCCAACCACGCAGTCCTATACCCTGCCCCTTACTTCCAATTTTGATGCATTCTATTTTGTACCAAAACTTAAACATTTTTTTTTGTTTCTTTCTAGATGGGGTTCAATGCTAGCAGTTGACGCGCTCTTTGCTTGAGAGTTTTCAAACTTAATATTATACCTTTGAGAATTATATAATTGTTTTCGATCATGAAAGAATAAAATTAAATATTTTCATGAGTATTTTAATTCCAGAGTTTGTAGTTTTTACATTATAAACTTTGTGTTCGCGTGTATGTGCTTGTGTATATTATACATGTGTGCGTGTATTTGTGCGAGTGTGTTTTGATTTTACTCTCATGATGGTGCGTAATTAATTCTTTACATCCTTACAGAATTAAGGATTAAACGTTCGTTTTCAAAACTCAAGGTGCATAAAATTTTTAACTCAATATAAATAATTGGCATATATCAGTCCGATGTTGATTTTTCACTACCAAACCATAGGATAAATTTCATATGATCAGATGCAAATGTATTCAAATGGCTACTGTTATTAGGTGATTTAGCAACTTAACCCTCTCTTCTATGGTGTCCGTCATACAGGCATTTATAAAATGCCTAATACAGGGGCGTAACGAGGGGGGGGGGGGCGGGGGGTGCGGACCGCACCGGGTGACACCATTTAGGGGGGTGACACCAAGGCAAAAATAAGCAAAATATATAGAGAAAAACATGAGGGGGGGGGGTGCAAATCGAAAGTTTGAGGTGGGGTGGGGTGCAAATCGAAAACTTGGGGGGGGGGGGGTGCAAATCGAAAATTTGAAAGTTTGTCCCCGGGAAGGGTCGCTACGCCTCTGGGGTGACACCATTAAGTGCCGCACCGGGTGACACCCCACCTCGCTACGCCACTGGCCTAATATATTAAGAGCCGACGCGCGGCGTAGCATACGGGAGGAGGGCTAGAGAGTCTGAGTGCGTGCATATTGTCCCGAATGGTTGGGCGACGTAGAGAATTATATATATATATATTGATTAGAAATACAGTTTACACATCGACTTCTATTAAAAAGGGAGACAACTTAATAATTTTAAAAGTAACCAAGGATTTCAACGTCGCAATTAATTCCTTTTTTTTTGGGTGGAGATCGGGGAATGATTGGGGGACTTTGTTTATAGGTGTATAACTTTTTGTACGAATGCATCTAAATATTAACGACATCTTGAATTATTCTAATAATAATATAGGAAAGCGTTGAAACGTTTACACTAAAGCTTTCATTCACAAAATATAGAATTTATAAAAGAAACAACATATATAATAGGATGCATCTATTGGGACCCGGGTCCCAATAGCCACGGCCGCTATTGGGACCCGGGTCCTAATAGCCTCGGCCGCTATTGGGACCAGCCAATAGAATTATTAAAATTTAATTATACAAAAATTCTTTTAAGATGCAGAATATATCTTCTCTGTTGTGATTTTTTTCCTTGTAATTCTAAATGATATATAGAGATCTTGCTTTAAATACCCGATATCATTACTGACAAATGTTATGATGAGCGGGTGTCGTTAGGTCTATAATATAATTATGGCCTATGGTATGAACTTCTATATTTTATATATATATATAAAATTGTATAAGATAGCTCATATGATATAGGCTGCAGACTACAACTCCTGGGCCTGTTTTCTTGAACACGAATATCTCGCATGCGTTGTAGTACGCTTTAATAGAAGCAATACGTAACATTTGAACTCACAATGACCCCAAATCCGTTTTCCCTCTTTCTGGTTTGGGAGAGGGGGGGGGGAGGAAAACTACGACGACAAATCTCGACAAGCTCATAGCAATGGTCTTGCTACACTGTTCACATCTAAACCAAAGTGAACTCACAGACACCATGTCGGTATTTTTCTTGCGCTGACCAGAAAACGCGAGCGGGCGATCAATGGAGCAATGATGTTTTTATAATTGGCGTGTTTAAAAACCTAAATCTAGAAAAAAAATATATAGATCTAATCTATTTAAAAAAACAATTTTAAATAAAGACGCCTATTCAAACAACTCAATGGAATGTTAAACTTAGATAAAAACACTTTACTTCACGCAAAAACGAGAGCTTTGAAAGGTTCCGATCCCGTAACTGATCGAAATTCGGGAGCTTCTGCCTTCTCCACTTGACCACGACGTCTTACGATAATTACTAAGTATTTAATGATTTTCTATATATAGCTAAATGTAGGGTATTTAGAAATAGCAACACAAGAACTAACGCTAGCTAATTCGCATAACTAATTACAATAAAAGACAACAAAATACGAGCAAATCCACAAGAAAAATCAAATAAACATAAAAGGTATAATTTTAATACAGGTTGTGCAAGTGCTTAACGAACTTAATGCCGGGTCCCAATAGCGGCCGAGGCTATTAGTAACTATTAGGACCCGGGTCCCAATAGCCTCGGCCGCTATTGGGACCCGGGTCCTAATAGCCACTTCCTATATAATATATTATTAGTAATCTGTTTTAAGTATTGATCCTTCCTTGTAAAAAGGGAGACAACTTAATAATTTTAAACGAAATTTCAAATTCGCAATTAATTTATTTTTCTTGGGTGCAGAGTGGGGTTTCCGAGTAATGACGTCGTTTAGGGGTGTGTATATTTTAGTAACAATGCAGCCAAATAGTAACGACATCTTGAACCATAGTTAAAATAATAAAGGAAATCGTTTTTTCGTTGAAACAGTTACACTAAAGCATTTATTCGCAGAAATGGTGTAGGGCCTACCTAGCTGGAATACAATGTTAGTTAAGTTAAACACCTGGTAAAACAACACGGTTTCTCATACTAAGGCAAACGAAAATACAGCAATCAGAAATGTGTCGTATGTTATTCAAAACAGCTTTGAAATACGACACTAACAAACGCTGTGTAAAAGAAAAAATACACATTTACAAATACACATATTCAACTGCATATTGTAGCAGCTGCTTCATTACGGGTATATTTATTACGAAGCTGTAGCAAAACTTGAATTCAATTAAGAGCGAAGTTTACAAAGGTATCATTTAAGAAAAAAATCAACAAAAAGTCGAATTCTACTGGATCTGTTTTTGGAACGAATGGTGAGTTTCCAAAAAAAGGGTGTTATTCAAGAATTGGGGGAAAAAATAGAATACATTTTATGTTAATTTAAATGTGGTTTTAACTTTGGTGGGGTGATTAGGACTTATGTCGATAATATCGCACGGTTCTTTCATTTGGCTTCTTTTGTTGAGAGAAGTTTTAGATTATTATCCCGTGCGGGGAGAGAAAGACAGATTAAAAAAGAGATAGAGAGAGAAAGAAACAGAGAGAGCGAGAAAGAATGAGAGAGTAAACGAGAGAGAAATAGAAATAATTAGAGTGTAGAGCGGAAGAGATGAAGCGGTTGGAGAGATAAAAAGAGAAAGAGAGGAGGATAAAAAGACAGAAAGAGAGTAAAAGAGAAAGAAAGAGGGCCAAAGAGAAAGAAAGCAAGAAAGAAAGAGAGAGAAATAGAGGGCTACGTCTGATGGCTTGTCGTTGTATAACACATACAATTGTATACATTTTTTGCGATTGTTTTGGTCGGGAGGGATTGTGTAAGATTACTAACTCGAAAAACTCTGAGTTCGAACTTCAGGGCACATGAGACTCTTTACATAGGGACAGCGACCCAACTAGGAGATGGAAAAAAACTTCAAAATTAAACAATTGCTTCCATTCAGATTGTTATAAAAAGAAAGAATTAAATACATACAATCGTATACTAGAAAGTAATGAAGAATCAAGTCGGATTTAACGGGCAAGACATATTGATACGTTACATTTAACTGTTGAGAATACTTTAAAATAGTTGAGTATGAGTCACGGAAACATAGAAATATGTCACCTAGTTTTAAACTATTGAGTTACATTAAGCAACATTTTTACAGCAGATGTTGGAAAGGTTAAGTGGTGAGATATAATTGAAGGTATTCACCGTTGCTATTAAAAATAGTTTTAGAATGTATTGTTGAAATAATGAAATTGGATATGGGGAGGGGGGTGCAGGGAGAGGGAGTAAGGCGGAAGAATTAGACAAATAGTTTAAATCTTTTAAAGAACACTGTATTTGTTAATTCGTTAAGGCTTCTGTAAAAAAAAAATATATAATTTATTTAGCAACCATAACGAATTAACTATCTCAATAAACAGCAAAAATATGCTAAATTATATAACAGAAAAGATAGACAAATAGTTTTATAATAATTTGTACGCATTAAAAATGTGAAGTTTACCTTTCTATGAAGAACGACTTAAATGTAAGCTTTGATATTTTACATCTACTACATAGAAATAGTGGTAGAGCTCTAGTTTGCTAATCCGAAAGTCTCACGTCCACCCAGCTTTGATGGGTACCTCATGTTAGGGAAAGCAAAGGCGGCTGGGTAAAATGCTGACGATATATGCCGAGCTCAAGAAACAACATTTCTACCCAATAAATCTCCCGGTTTGAAGAGGAATCTTAACTTTTACAGAACAATTTTAATAAAAAATATTGTTTTAATAAAATGCGCAGTACAAAAACAAGTCGGGTGTAGTAGACAACCTTAGAGCTATCAATAAAAGCTAGTAATAAATGGTGGATGGGTAAAGGCTCCTCTATGTAAATATCATAGATGAAATGGACAAATTTACAAAGTGGCTGTAACGAAAACAGACTCGATAAATGCGAGTGCATCATTATCGTTATCGATCGATGTCGCTACATTTTATTAGTTTAGACTTCGATCTGTTTTTCAAGGTTGAATTCGTAATTCACCAACGCAATTGAGATAAATATAATAAATAAAGATATTCTGTAAATTAAGAGTTCGATAATTCACGTCGAAGAAATATTTTAATGTACGTGTCAGTCGCCTGTGGAATCACAAAGAGACTAAAGCTAAAAACATCAATTTTGTGCAATCGAAGAAGCAACGACTACACGCATTTCAACCCAATTGATCGATCGAGTAATGTATCTATACTCGAATTAAGTTTAGTAAACAGTGGTTGTTTCATTATATTTTCCCCGGGTATAACTTCTAGTTAAAATAATCTGGCATAGGTTTTATCACTAAAACCACGTAATGGAAAACTGTTTTCGGTTATTTTAATGTCAACCGCTTAATGCCATTTATACTTCAGAAATGTATTCAAGAAAAAAGTACTCGTAAATGAAACATCAATACTATTGCTGTGTTGGTAATTCTTCAGGGGCAATAACCTTTGTCAGACTGTATAAATACATAATTTAAAATATCCACCGACGATGATAAACATATTTGTAAACACGGCGTTTATTTTGTTGTTTTCTGATCAAGATCGATAAAACGAGAATTAATTTGTTGTAAATTTGCCACTTGGCGGAGTCGAGGCATAAGATAGGACAAGGTGAACGGAGGTAACTGTCTATAGCAGATTGATTTAATCTTCGCGTTAAGGCTACATAACATTTTATTTTTTAACGGGTTTTGATAACGGCATCATGTTTATAAGTTCCAAACTTAAGTCTATGATAAAGCAGTCGTTTCTATCTTATTCTAGACATACAGATCTAAGAAGCAGATATGCATGTACAGAGCTTGCTTCGTGAAGCGATCTTTGTATCGTTAAGATAGGTTAACTTGTATAGTATCTAGGCAAGGAATTGTATGTGAAATATGTAAAGAATGTTAACTTTACACGTGTATTATCGGTAAATGTTATCACATAACATCAATAAGAAACGCTTAGTATATGCGCAAAGATTTTGTATCTCAAATAAAAAGTTATCAATTAGTACGTGAAATAATAGTTAATTTAGATTTATATATACCTTATGATTGTAGCCTATATATATATATATATATATATATATATATATATATATATATATATATACATATATATATATATATATATATATATATATATATATATATATATATATATATATATATATATATATACACATAAAATTTAAAAAAAACGTAAAATTAAGTAATAAAAATAAAAAATGAAATGTATACGATAAAATGATAAACTTTAGTGTGTTATGTGATGGAACACTTCATATTAAATAGCAAATCATTTATTCCTTTAAAAAATAATTGGACCGTATTCAAACCTTGAAAAGCAAAAACGTTCTTTTCTTGTTTTACAAATTCCTAAACTTTATTAAAGTATTCTTTTTTTTTTACGATTCGCAGATTGTTCAAAACTTAACGTCAACCAAGATCAAAGTACGATCTCCATACAAATCCCATAATCTGACAGTGTATTGATCAAATAATGTAATTTTTCTAATCACTGTGGCGTCACAAAGTCTGTTTTCTTCGCGAGACGCGAGACCTGGAACTGACTGGTTGATCAATATATCGAGCCGCACTAGCAGTACCAACAAATAACGTGCACGCTGGAAATTGATTGTACTTTACTGGAGAAATAAAATCGCTCTCTTAACAGTTGATGAATTTGATGCAAATTGTTTACGACATCAACGTCTAAAATATTCTTTCAGTGCCATAAATAACGTATGAATTTCTTGGTATTGCTATCCTAAATACTATATTGTCTCAGCTCTTTCCTAAATTGCAGTAGCTCTAACCATTCGATTAACATTCACAATTAACGTAACGTTACAATACCTAAAGTAATTTTTTTTTGAAAGTGCACTATATTATTATTATGAATATATTATGCATAAATGCATTTTCAAGCTACGGCGTTATGTTAATAGTTTGTATAATGCTTCATTTTCAAAAACGTATAAAGTAGCATTTAAACATTATAAATGAAAGATATACAGGCTACATAATTTTACCAGCTGTATAATAAACAATTTTGATGTTACTTTTCAGATACCCAGTCAATGAACTGATACGATTCGTTTTTCTTTAGTTTATTTTGCCGTGAATATATTTCTCTGCCTCGAGTATGGTTGTTTTTTAGGAGTGATCCTATATCGATTTTTTTAAAGACATTTTTAAAATTTCCTAAGATGAACAGAGACACAGGCAGTCGAGGTGCCATGAACGATTCCCAGTCCAACTCAACGGTTCTAGAAGTGGAGTCCTACACCCCTCTCATCGATCCGTGGTTCCTCGAATGTTTCCTCGTGTTCAACATGGTCGTCTGCGTGGCGGCCGGCATCCTCGGCATCTTCGGCAACGTCGTCAACGTCATCATCTTCTACCGCCAGGGCTACCAGGACAGCGTCAACGTCACGCTGACGTCACTGGCCGTCACCGACACGGGAGCGCTGCTCAGCTTGCAAGTCCTCAACATCATGATCAACCCCTGGTTCCTCTCTTCGGGAATTCCCGTCGACGCGCAGGGGTTTTCCCTGATGGTGTCCGTCTACCCCCACAACTACTTCATCCGCGTCTGCGGTTTTATAACCGCTTTCGCGTCTTTCGAAAGATGTATCTGTGTCGTCAGCCCGCTTAGGGTTAAAAGCATCATCACCAACAAAACAACAATAATAACCATCACTCTAATTTGTGTTATAACGACTTTAGATTTAATCCCGCCGTATTATATAAGCTATCTCGGCTGGGCGTTCATCCCTGCGCAAAACAGATCCATTCTCACAGCAATATACCGACAAAACCCTTACACTGTTTTCAGTATCTCCTACATCATGACCGATCTCGTCGCGCCCTACGCGACGTTTTTCATTATAATCCTCAGCACAAGTATCATCACCGTCAAACTCAGAAGCCAGGCAAAATGGCGTCAGTCTCTGGTCAAATCTAGCACGAACATCTCCACCAAAGAGAAAAAGACAGTCGTCATGCTGTCCACTATCTCTATCGTGTTCGTCATTTGCTTACTACCCCAGTCAGCCATTTTGGCAGCCATAAGTTTCGTGCCGGAGTTGAGCTACGGGGGCCGGCATTTCGACGTGTCCACCCTGTGCTACTGTATCTCCTACATGTTTGAGACCATCCTCTCCAGCGTCAACACCCTGGTGTATTTTAAGATGAGCCAGAAGTACCGAGAACAGTTTATTCTTATTTTTAAGTTGAAATAGTTTATTACTACATTAAAGTTCAATTAATACTTGGAATACTATATAAAGCGTCAATACTTTGTTTATGGCAATGACATCGAAGTACGAAGAACAATTTATTCTTATTTTTAAGATAAAATAGTTTTTTACTACATTAGAATTGGAACTTCAAATACTACATAAGGCGCCAATACTGGGTGTATTGCAATGACACAGAAGTACTGAGGACAGTTTATTCTTATTTTTAAGTTGAAGTAGTTTCTTACTGCATTATATTTCGAAGTTTAAATATTACATAAGGCGTCACTATTTTCTTCATCACAATGAGATAGAAGTATTACTACCATAAACATTAAATTAAAATGTTAAATACTACATAAGGCGTCAATACCAGTAGCGTAGCGAGGGGGGGGGGGGGGGGGGGGCGGGGGGGACATATGTCCCCGGGCGCCGACCTTAGGGGGGGGGGCGCCAAATTGAAAGTTTGAGGGGGGGTGCAAATGAAAAGTTCGAGGGGGGGGGTGCAAATCGAAAGTTTGAGGGGGGGTGCAAATGAAAAGTTCGAGGGGGGGGGTGCAAATCGAAAGTTTGAGGGGGGGGGGTGCAAATGAAAAGTTCGAGGGGGGGGGGTGCAAATCGAAAATTTGCTCTCGAGGGGGCGCCAAATTGGAAGTATGTCCCCGGGCGCCGGGAAGGGTCGCTACGCCTCTGGTCAATATACTGTGTATCGCAAGGAGCCAAAAGAACCAAGAACAGTTTATTTTTATTTGTTGAAGTAGTTTATGACTACATTAAATTTTAATTAGAACTTCGAAAACCACCAAGGCGTCAATACTTTCTGTATCGCAATGACATCTAAGTACCGAGAACAATTTATTCTTATTTTTAAGTTGAAATAGTTTCTTACATTTACCATTAAACTAGTTTGACCTCAAATACTACAGATTTATTTTTTAAACAACTTAGTACTCAAAGACGTCAACATTTTGGTGTTTTAGAATGAGCTATAATTTCCGAAAACAATTCACTCTTATTTTTTTAAGTTGAAGAAGGTCTGTAACCAATATTTTTTCAGACAAGTTTCCTTTGTAAATCGGGGGAAGGGCACTTAATTGTGTGGTGGTGGGGGCGGACACTAATTAAAGTATATATTTTCCCCCAGCCCGTATAGATTCCAGGAAGAAACTATTTCATCAAGGTGTATTTTTTTTAAATGAGCCAGAAGAACCGAAAACATTTTGTGCTTGTTTTAAAGTTGAAGAATTTTCTCATCAGAATTCTCATTAATTATTAACGCGATATTTTTATGACAGTTTTTAGCTACTGTAGACGACTATAATAAGGCGTCAAAAATGTGTGTATCAAAATGAGATAGAAGTGTTGAGAACAATGTATTCTTATTTTTGAGTTGAAGTAGTTTTTTTCTACATTTATTAAAACATTCATTTAACATCCGATCCAGAGAGACAGAAAGATAGACAGACATGACGAGGAAGCAAGTTGAATAAAAGCTTGTAAAAAGATGTCAATATTTTGGTGTATTTTAAAAGGAGCCAAAATTTCCGAAAACCTTTTATTAATTTTAAGTTGTAGTAGGCCTATATCCAGTGGATTTTTTTTCTACAGAAAATTTTCTCTTGCAGGTCGTAAGGTGGGGTGGTGTAGTTACAAATTTTAAGTGAGTGTGGAGGGGGGGGACACTAATTTAAGTATATATTTTCTTTATCTCTATTTCTATATTTTATATATGCGATTTGGTGCACTCAGCTATCCTGTAAACACTATTGCACCTACGTTCGATTTAAAGAGCACCCTACAATATTCACACAGT